AGCAGAAGTCGTAGGCAATCAGTTATATTAATAACTTGAAACACAGTTCATTTGCTGCCTGAATTCTTTAGTCGGTGTTTTATAACCATTGTATTTTATTTAATTCGGTCAAATTTCCTCGTTTTTGTCCACTGGTTTCATTCGAAGGTCGAATATCCAAGATGCAGTTCAGTGATAGTTATGTTCGGGAAGCTCAAAGTTACAAGCAGAGAATCTGACATGCATGAGTAAGCGCATCCGTTCTGAGAACAAGGTTGACGAAATTGTTACACATTCCATGCCATATAGGGGATTAGCCATTATACGGCGACCCAGAACTCTTTTCATTTTCTTGTTATTTTACCATCCGTTAATACATTGTTCCGTTTCTAAAAGGCATCTTTCCCTGTCCCAACTGTAACAATGTGTGGAATAAAGGGAGATAATTGAAGAAGACAAACCATATCCTAAATAGTTGTTGTGGCCTGTTTAGAGGCCAGAAAGAAAGACACGCAAGACGAAGGTAGGTTGAAACAATAATGTTAATAATAAGTAGATTAGCACTGCGTCTACTACTCCACTCCACTTCACACTCTGCGCTCCCGTCCGACTCTCGCAGTTTGCATTTATGAGAGAAGGAAGAGGCTCCACCACAACAATAATAAGCATCCATAGTAATTGGAAATATATCGTATTTCTGGAATTCGATATATATGACAGGGTCAGCAAAAAAACGGAAAAGAAGCAGGATGTACAGATGCTTTTCATTGGTCCGTGAATTTTGACGAATCAGCAACAAGCAAAAATGCGACGTATCCTGGTAAAGATAAAGGATTTTTTTTCCTCCAAAATTCTTCAGTGAGAATTTTTCGCTTGGTAACAAACACAACAATAGGGGAGTTACTCTCACATACTACACCCTCTCCATCATTGACAAGTAGTCGGCAAAATTTCCCAATTGAAGAACACTAAAAGTAGACGACACAAACCATATGCGTTGGACTATTTGGGATTTTGACGTCCCCCTCTGTGACTCAAATTTTGGAGAGTTCCTTTTACTTAGAATCATATATTTTTTGTCTTTAGGTTGATATTTAATACATTCTTCTTCCTTTCATCAACAAATAGCCCAACCGGCGAGTCAAGTTAAAAAGGCCAAAGGGCAAAACGATTCAAGCAAAATTACAACTAAAAGCACATTCGATTATTCAGTGAATGTTGGTAATTATAACTCAACATCCGGTGACATGTTTCCTCCTCTAAAGGAAGTTAAAACTGAAAACGCAATTTAAGAACTTGCGCATGGTTAAAACGGGTTGTAAGGGATGTCAAAATTCTTTTTCACAGTACCAATAGAAACTATACACATTATTCCTGTTGTGGATTCCGAGATGAATTCGGTCTCCAATGAAGAACAAACGCAATAATTAAATATAAGAAATAAAATGTATTTACACAATCATACAAAGGGTAATACTGTTAGTAAATCCAGGAACACGGTTAGTAGCAAATACAGATAGATATATACAGTCTCGAAGTAGGACTTCCTTAGAGTCTACGTGCTTGTAACTGACTTCTACAAGAGGTTACCTCACACTATCTCCGTTTGTATATTCTCTCTCTCTTTTCCACTGTCCCCTAACTGACTGTAACTCTGGTTATTTAACGGCAGCAGTCCAGGTACACCGGTAGAGTCCACTTATATGAAAAAGGGGTGGACCCCATAACAATTCCAAAACCGACTTAGAATTGTGTACAGTAAGAAGATATAGTGTATAGTAGGGCGAGAGACAAACTAGAGATAACAAAACAAACAAGTAAAAAAATTTCACTGGAAATCAGAGCACGGAAAATCTGACACAGATATTCGAAGTTGCAGTGGAATAGCAAAAGTTGCTTTTCAAATGTTAAAAAAAATTATAAAGAAAAACAGAAAAATGTGAGTAGAAACAAAGAAATGAGCACTGAACTGGTGGGTAATATGAATCCTCTTATGTCATTGAATGCTGGGCAATTTACTCACAGAGGAAGAGAAGACTTGCGCTAAAAGGGATGGAATTTTGCTGAGAATACTATGGATCGACTACGTAAGCATCAGAAAACTTTTAGGAAAAGAAAAGAATGAAAAGAACTCTTGTGCTTGGAATCAAAAAAAGACTACTGAAAATTACGAGACACGACGTGGAAGAAGGCTAGCAGGATTGGACACTCACAGAGGGAAACAGGGATTAAACATATCAAAAGAGATTGTGTAAATGGATGGCAGAACAGGGACTGGGTGTGATATTCAGTCCACGTGTTGAAAGAACACGGCGCATAAAAAAAAAACAAATGTAAAATTTGCTTGCATACTATTATTATTATTATTAAACATTATTATTAAACAAACACAATTAATAAAAATGAATACATGTTCCAAACAAAAGTATACATTGTTTCTGGGATGAAACATCAAAGTTTTCTACGTGTTTTGAGCACGATATTGATATAATTCCGATACATGCTGCTCTAGCAATAAATATGTTTTGAGCGTGTTGTAAAATTTCAGATAGAGTATTGGGACCGATTTTACACGCGCGCTCTGATGTATACAGAGTGGAATGAACAAACCCAAGGCTTGAAATAACTGTTTAACAGCTTTTATTTGTGGTTGAAATGAGAGTGCAAAATAGTGGTATTTTGCGGGAGGGGGGAGGGAGAGTTGGCTTTCCCAATTAACAGAGTTCTTCCCTTGAGTAGATGTTTTGTGGAAAAAGATTTCTCCGCTTGTTCCCACGAAGAACGAGAAATCTAAGTGTCAAGGCCTGTACGTGTTTTATGGAGTAAGAATTGTGTGTAGTTTTCCTTTGGGTAGGTGTCTCAAAGGGAGATTTCTCTACTCGTTCCCACAAGGAACGAGAAATCTCTGTCAATCTGCCAGAATAGGCCACGTGTCTTCTGCAACAATAATTGAGAGTAGTTCTTCGAACTGGCCTTGAAGGTAGCGGCCGCTAAAACGGAAAAGTGGAAAAAGAGCTGGGCTTGAAGGAAGATGCCACTGAAAAAGAAAAGTGGAAAAAGAAGGCGAATAAGGCGCGGTCAACGTTTTTATGAGTTCTGAGACTTTGCGATTGTTCGCTGCGGATTACTACCGTTACTGCTACTGCTGAATCGAGCAAAGTAAGCAAGTCCCCACATTCTACAGCAGCCGACAAACGAGACAGTTTCTATATCACATCTATAAAAGGATATTATGATAAAGCCCCTAAAAGGATGGAACTTGTCGTCTAAGATAAGCTTTCCTTTTGTCTTTATTCATATTTTAAAGAGTTCTCAATTTTTGCTTTCCAGCACTCTTGCCTTGAAATTCAGATAGCATTCTCACTTGATGTTTTTGTTGTATCTCTCTTTTTCACATATTCTCTTCTGAAATTTCCATTCAATGTTTCTAGTATACCCCAAAGAAGTAAACCTTGAAATATATAACGTCACCAAACGAACGCAGTACCAGGCATATTTTATTGAAGACATTCAGAGAAATGAATGATTGAAATGCTAAGGAAACTTTGTCATCAGTCGCAGAAATTTCCTTAATATAAAAGACAAATTATTAAAAAAAATACCAGGCAAAAACTATAAAGTTAGAATTTTAAACAGCTTGAGAGATTTTTTGTGAAAATTTCAGTAAGACACAGAAAAGTCTCTTTTCTCTAAAAATATAGCGAAAAACTCTATATTTCATTTCAACGTTGCCTGTTCTTAACGTTGTAAACGAGAATTAATTACAGTTACTCAATTATATTATGTTGGCATCTGTGGGAAAGAATGGCCTATTTTTCCATACAGCAACTAACTTGACAGCTGGGAAGACATTCGACAGGACACAAAGTATTGATTTTGATTTTTATGTTATTTATTTCTACAATAATAATTACTGGGGCTAACGTGTAGTAATGAGATAGAGATAGTATGGCTTGTAGGGTTTAAAATTTAATGCTGATAGACACATCATCTTTCTCTCTCTCTCTCTCTCTCTCTCTCTCTCTCTCTCTATATATATATATATATATATATATATATATATATATATATGTGTGTGTGTGTGTGTGTGTGTCTTAGTTCCCGAAAAAATAATTCTGTCGAGCACTGTGAGGAGAAAGCGAGAATTTGTAAAAGCAGTGACTATTACAGCTAATAATGCAAGACTCTCACAACGGATTAAGAACTCTAGGTCACTGACGTTTTTATGAAAGAATAAATACGCAAAAATTCGCCTTTCTCTCTGCCGAGCGCCGATAGCGTAGGGGTTGGAATATCCGACTAATGCCAAATCGAGTTTCGATCCCGGCTTGAAGCGATCGGATCTCTATCTATACTGATGAGCAGTGAAACAGTCTGTCTGTGGATGACGATATATATATATATATATATATATATATATATATATATATATATATATATAGGATATTACAATGGAAACATGTCAAAATCGCTACATAATTACAGTCGTGTTTTGATGTGTATCAATGCATCTCATCAGGCGATTGTAAATTACTGGCGAGTGAACGATATATTTAGGTTTTATTGCAAAATATAAAAATTTTTACAAAAAACGCATCGAAACTCGACTGCAATTGTGCAGAAATTTTGACATGTTTTTCGATGTAATATCCGAAAATAAAGAATATTGCTCTACTTTTGTATTGTGTCCTCTTTTAAATTAAATGTTACGAACGTTGGAATTGTACTCTATTCGTTCTCATCTTGCATATATATATATATATATATATATATATATATATATATATATATATATATATATAATTTATAAAACGGAGCGAAACGTTAAAATTAAGTTTTCATCAAAAGAAAATGATTGCTGATGGAAATATTATTTCTATTTCATTATTGTATAATTTTCAGTTTTGTTATGTAATAATTGCCGTAGCAGAAAAAATTATTGGTTTGCATCGAATGTTTTCTCAACTGTCAAATGGTTTGCTAAATGAATAAAAGAAAAACATCTTGGCTTTCTAGATCAATTATAGATAGATAGATAGATAGATAGATAGATAGATAGATAGATAATTAACAGACTGAGATAGATTGATGCTTAGTCCTTTCTTCTTGCTTTCATTGACTACCTTGTATAATAATTCGTTTAGTTAGTCTCTGGAATCGCCGATACATTGCCATCTGCATGGTGTATTTTCTTAAGATTACATCCAGCGGTAAATATACCCAAGGGTGATCGTCTAAGAAAACAGATTTGTAGCACTCTTTTTCCTAACTCGATCTGCTCAAATACATTTGCATAAAAAAGCTTTTTGTCCTCAATACAATTTGCGGCTTATTTGTATCCCAAGTTTTCCTCGAGTTCTAATTTGTCGAATAAACGAACAGCAAAAACGATGAGGCAATTAGTCCGATTGAAAAAAAAACAGATGCCTACTCACCAACAGATTATTGCGCATTATGTTTGATTATAGCGATATGACTCGGCCATTTTTACATTCAAGGAATAATAATCGTAACTCTTTATCGTAAATCTGATTGCTTTATTTTCTCTTATTGTTACACAACGATTTATTGAAAATGTTCTCTTCTTACTATGTGTTGGGAGTCATTTCCTTTTCTATTGCTGAAGCGAAGAAGAGGCAAAAAACGATGTGTCTGAGTTGCAGTATGTAGAATACTTTAAGGTTTTTAATGACTTTATTTTGCACAATACTATCTTACGTCTGGTGAGTGCAGTTCTTCTCAGCCTTTCCTTAACATACCACAAGTTTGTAATATTTCACCATTATTCTATATTCCAAATAACTAGCGTCAAGGATATGTTATAAAACCTACTAGCATTTTCTATAAATTATATACGAGAAAAGCGCAATTACTCATTCTAAAGCATAATACCTGAAATTATTTACATTATTGTTCAGACTGTTGTCCTCATCTTCATTGCCATATTCACGACGTTTCGATCGTTGTACTCTCCGGCCTTCTTCAGCTGTTTGAAATTTCGAACTGAACCCTTTCTTTCATCCACCGGAGTAGATTATTCTAGAGTCATGAACCATGCTTCTCCCGAATGTTTCAGTTATTCCCTCTTTAACTGAACTCTCCACGCTTTTGTTCGTCACTGCACTAGCCAGGTTTAGAATTCACAACTACTTTGGGTCAAGTCACTGGATCTAACCAACGCTTTTATCCACTGAGCCATGTGCCCTTGACGACATCCCTACACCTGAAAATATTTGCTTATGCAGAACTAATTAGAAAATAATAATAATACGCACACAAAAAAGGTTCCTCCTTATTGATATGGCAGTCCCTGCAGACTGCAATGTATCTTTGAAGATCTTCAAAAAGCTATCAAAATACAAGGACCTTGAAATCGAAATCTCAAAAATGTGGCACATGGGAACATCAACAATCCCCGTTGTAGTTGGAGCCCTCGAATTGGTTGGAAAAAGATTCCAGTAGACTAATTGAAGGGGTTCCTGAAAGCCCATGCCTTAAAGAAATACAAAAAATTGTTCTCACGAGTACAGCCCACACTTTACGAAGGGCTTTATCTATGTGATTTTTTTTCCAGTGGAAAATGTCATGATGCCATTTCTAACCTTAGATTCCGAAAAGAAATGAGTACACATCAGAAATCAAAGGAAATAAATTAAAGATGGTAATGATAATAATAATTGCGGCATAAGACCAATCCCTTACTACCAGTGCCATAAAATGAAATATATACAAAAAACCAATCTCTCTTTGTGGTGAACACCGTGAGAATGGGTCTCACCTGATTAGTGGATGCAAAAGTTGCTTCAAAGAGAATATAAGAGGCGCCATGGTAAGGTATGCCTTTATGTACACTGGATATTGTGTCAAAAATATGAATACCAAGTTACAAAAAATTGTGCCTTACAAAATTCTACCTTACAAAACAATTGAAGAAGTTGGAATGCCTACAAAGTTTAGGGACTGTGATTTTCAGACAGACACAATGATACTCAATCGCCGTTCGGATATTATTGTGCAAGATAAAGGCGCCAAGAATTGTCATATTATTGATGTCACTATACCAAATGACACAAATATTGCAGGCAAAGTGATTGAGAAAATTACAATCTAATCTAATTCGAAAGTTGACATTGCAAGATTGTTTAGAATGGATGGAGGGGATGTTAAGGGGATTCCAGTGATGATTAGCGCATTAGGATCAGTCCCATTAAAACTGTGAGACTTCCTTGATCAACTGGAGATACCTTAGCAAATTGGAGTCCTCCAAATATCCGCTCTTTTGAGCACTGCGTATATTTTGAGGAAAGTATTGTCTGTCTGAAGTCCTTGTTATAACACGATAGATAACCTAATGTACCCTGTGTACTCAACAACTTACACTGTATGACAAAACATAATATAAGGTAATCCCATAAGTTCTGTCCAAATTTTAACTTTTTGTTAAAATGAACGAAATTTAAAGAGTATTTTATAATGTCTAATGGAGCTGAACATTATTTTTATGTTTAGATGCATTTAAATTGATCAAATTTTATTTCAGAAAACAATAAAATTAAATTTTGTTTGATTAAAACCCTACTAACATGGAAGTACCCAAGAATTATTTGAGGTACATAATGCTTTATGAGTTCAAGAATGGAAACTCAGCAGTTGAAGCAGCTGGAAACATTCACTCAGTTTATGGAGAAGAATATATGAATGAAAGAACTTGCAGAAGATGGTTTGCAAAATTCAGAGGTGGAGATTTCACCCTTGAAGATGAAGATCGAATCGGACGTCCAGTTGAGTTTAATGAAAAGCTTCTTGAAGCAGCCCTTGAAGAAAATCCTGCTTTATCAGTTGAGGAATTGGCAGTGGTTCTCAGTTCAAACCACACAACTGTTCATCGTCATCTTCAACAACTTGGAAAAGTTCCTAAACTTGGAAAATGGGTGCCTCATGAATTGTCTGAAAACAACCTCAAATCCCGAGTTGGCATCTGCTCTTCTCTCCATTCTCGCCAACTTGTTTCACCTTTTTTGGATAGACTTGTGACTGGCGACGAAAAATGGATCTTTTATCGAAATGTTAAGCGTCGTAGACAGTGGCTTGGTAAAGGGGAAGGACCCCAGCCACAGCCGAGAAGGGAACTTCATGGGCAAAAGGTTCTTCTTTGAGGAAAAAAAGACCTGCTCTAGTGAATCGAAAAGAGATGATGTTTCATCAGGACAATGCGTGGCCCCACACAGCAAGAATCACGTCACAAAAGATCGAAGAAGGTTGGGAGAAAATTCCTCATCCACCTTATTCTCCCGATCTTTCTCCTTCAGACTACCATTTGTTTCGTAGCTTACAGAATCATTTGGAAGAAATAGCTTTTGTAACACAGGAAGAGGTTAAAAATGACATTTATGAGTTCTTCGAATCAAAGCCAAAAGAATTTTACAGTAATGGAATTAGTAAGCTTCTTAATAGATGGAAGGAAGTCATAGATAATCAGGGAAAATCCATTGTTGATTGAATCTGTAATTAAATGTAACATTTGGTCACTTGTTTTCATTATTCAAAATTCGGACAGAACTTATGGGATGACCTGATAATATTAATCCTAATAAATGCCCCGATGCTGCACTCGACATGGCACTCATATATTAACTGAAGATATTAACATACCTTTTCTAATTGGTAGGATAAGATAGGCTAAAGTAAATATTCCGTACAGGTGTTGATAAACTGTCCATCTCTGTTTATGAGCGTGAGTATGGGAAGACATCATGGCCAGGTGTAGAGACGATTATTTTTCGATTCTAAAAGATGAAGCAGCTAAGGTGACTTAGGACAAACACTTAGATAATCTGGAACATTCTTAGTAAGAAACTGTCTGAGTGCACTGTGTTTACTAACGTGAACGTATTTCTTAATGTACCCCGCCTGTTAGGTGATCCGGTGATTTTATCAAAACTTATCATCATTTGGCTGTGATGCATGTGCACGGTATACCATCATAATGGCTGAGATGATGAGTATATATGTCTATGTATATCTCTATCTCAGCGATACTTATGTTGTCGTGTTGCTCTTTCAAATAATAATGGTTTTACTAGTTTTGCTACTTCTTGTTGCTTTTTATCACAAACACGTGTCATTTTTATTGTGTAGGCCACTTAAGGTAGCAGTATGGATCAACTTTCGTAGTCTAATTAATAAGGTGATTTCCCAGTAAGATAGGCACTTAACTATGACTGCTTGAAACTATACTGATTCCTTAAAACTGTAAAAATGACTGATGATTTAAAATAAATGTAACAAAAACAATATGAAAAGAAACATTAATGAAAAACAAGAAATTAGAATAAAATTAGATATTAGTTGCAAATATATTTCTCGGAGTTTCTTTGATTGAATATTATTTGATCCAGAATGTGTTCCGTAAGTTCTTAGACATTAGGCACGACTTTTAACCTCGTATTTCGTTTGGTATAAAACGTTAATCCATTATCAAGACTTTTTGTTGTTCGTGGTCACTGTCTCTTACTGTTATTATCAACTAATCTTTTTGTTATCTTTGCAAAAATTAACAAATCTTTTATGCTCTTGAATTATCGTTTGTAATATATGATCGGAAGATTATAATTCCAAGTCTTCTGTTCGCAAACCCCTAATCCAAATGAACTGTCTCTTGGACTGTCTCCCGTTATGAGTTTTGAATTAAACTAGCTTCCAAGGTATTCTCAGAAAACTTGTAATGCGTTTTAGCGCTTCAGGATTTAGTCGAATCGAAACTGGTCACTAATCATTGTTGCCCGCAGATTTCGAAAGTCGGAAAAAATCAGTGTCAATAAAGGAACAAATAAATAAAGTAAAAATAGACGCAAGGAAGGGATATTGTTTACATTTTTTTATATTTATGATGTAATGAATATGCATACACCTGGGTTCCCCCTTACAGTGATATGATTGTCTGGTGTCAGCCATAAATACAGACTGATGTGGAGGTACAGGACGACGCCTATTGGCTACGCCTATAGTCTTCGCCTATTGCCTACGCCTATTGCTTACCACTACGACGAGGACCAGTCCATTACGGTTACCTGCTAGATTGTCCTACCCGATTACAGTAGTCCAAAACTACTTTGTTACTTCGAACAAATATATCCCTTTTCGGGACATATCATTTTATCAATTGTTTTTTCTTTTCCTGTTTTATTTTTTCAATGTGATTCAACGCAGAGAAATTGTTTTGTGAAATGCCTGCATATAATTGTTGTTCATGATGACGGTCGTCTTCGAGTATAAAATCCAGAGGTTAGCAGTGAATATTTCGAAGACAGTAGGGAAGCGTTGTTCAGGTTAGCAGTGGATATTTTGGAAAAAGTAGCAGATCGTAGTTCGTCCTTCTGTTTCTCTTCGCCTGACAAACTGGAACTGGACATTCGGGTAGAGTGAACAAAATGGCCGCCTTTAACACACACAATTGATGGGAAGAAATGCAACAGAAAACAACGAGTAATATGCTTAATGAATGGATGTGAATGGATGGGAGAACAAACACCAAATAGAGGTGGTAACAAGTCAAAAAGTTTCTTCGAAAAACAAAAGTCAAAGTTGTGGAGAGTCATGATCGTCTATGGCCTGACGGGACGTAGTAAATAAAAGAAGAGGTACAAGGGAATGGATCTTTTCAAAAAGAGATAGATACAATATAAGAGAGGGAGAGAGAAAGAGAAAAAGCTCACTCTCTCTGCCCTCTCTATTTCTCTCTCTCTCTCTCTCTCTCTCTCTCTCTCTCTCTCTCTTTCTTTCTCTAGCTTTTTGCACCTCTCTCTTTTCTTCCTCTCGTCTCTCTCTTCCTTTGTTCGCATGTCAAAAATAGGCCAGGGAAAATAAAAGTTGCCAAGGTGAGTTAACTGGAAGTGACGTCATCTGGGCAGCACCAGATAATCTTGCAATTGCTTCTTGATACGTTCTAGTTTTATTGTATTATGAATATGAGAAATAAGACACTGTGGGAAAACTCGTAGAGTTCAACAGAAACTATGGAAGTAAAATGCGGTAACATTTTGGATCATGAAACCTTCGACAAATAAATGCCTACACATGAAAAGGCACGCATCTGAAAATACAGCCATATAAATACATATACAATCACCTAGAGAGAGTTGCGCATGCGTTTAACAAATGCAAATGGAGGCACTTCAAGACATGTAAACTAAATAACACTAAAAGCATCCATACAATGAAATTCGCAAACACATTCGCAACATTATATAAAAGGTGCAAAATCATTCACAAAAGTTTCCGTTCATGCACGCGACTAGGAAATATGAATTACGGTTACGTATACAAACCAGAAAGAGTGTCGTTCAAAATCCAGTTTCAACCCGTGTTTCTGTCTATTACTTTTGCTGAAGTTTAATTCACTAATCTTGTTGCTATATTTTCACCCCAAGCAAGGGAGTAAAGCCACAAAGTCACAAGGGTCTACTTATTGTGGAAGAATCAGAAACAGGAATATTGTTAAGTAGCGAGAACAAAAAAAAAGTAATCAGGAGGACAGTAGGTAGCGATTGACTTTGCTTTTAAATTTTTGAAGATTAAAGTTAGAGACGGAAGGGAGTTCCACAAGCGAGCCGGAACGATTATAATTTATTTCATGACCGAAAGTTTTTTAAGAAATGGAATCAATCCATCCAGACAGATATACCGGGATAAAAAGAAAAAAAAGGGAAAAACGAGAGAGAAAAATTTCTCCCTTGAAATTATCCCTACTAATTGCAAAATTGGTATGATAGATAGATAGATAGATAGATAGATAGTCTGAGATCGATAGACATGAGCGGGCTTAGAGACATAGATAGATAGACAAATAGATAACAGAGATCGATAATGAGCAGGCATAGATAGATAGATAGATAGATAGATAGATAGATTACAGTCTGAGATCGATAGACATGAGCGGGCTTAGAGACATAGATAGATAGACAAATAGACAGATAACATGAGCAGGCATAGATAGATAGATAGATAGATAGATAGATAGATAGATAGATAGATAGATAGATAGATTACAGTCTGAGATCGATAGACATGAGCGGGCTTAGATAGATAGATAGATAGATAGATAGATAGATAGATAGATAGATAGATAGATAGATATATACTGCATGATATGTCTTAAGCAATCATATCGGGTGGGTGGCCATGGATAAATGTAACTAAATGATAGAACTGTGTAAGAAACAGATTTGACAAAATTTGCAATAAACAATTACAATAGCAATAACAAGGAAAAGAACAGGGCAAAAAATAATATCAAGCAAGCAAACAATATATGCAATGCACATTATCAGTAATAAGGCAAAGCAATAATAATATGGCAAAAAGTTCACAAACTAAGATAAGTGACTGTAGCGCTGTGACTTCAACACAGGACAGATCAGGACTGACTCAGATGAAACCGAGAACCAGCCTATTTTATTGCCAAGGAAGAAATCCCAGGATGCATTTGTGTGCTTCTGAATGTAATTTAAGGAGGGAAAGTGTTTTCAGTCATTCCCCGTAGGGACTGTAACCAACAAATATTCTGCCCATCTGTCCCTACGCCTTTCCGCTGCTCTATATATAGGTTCCTGAAGGATTAAGGAAATGTCGCTGGATTTGTAGGATTGTTTCTGTGTGCTGGTCCCACAACCTTCTAATTTACCCTGTGAAATTTGCGGTTCTCTACTGAGAAACATAGAAATGCTGTCAGTCAGTGTGTGGTGAACCCAAATGTATGATAAAATAAAACATGAAAATAAAATATATAAATAAAAGAATTAAAATTAAAATAAGACATTTGATTTCCTTTAAAACCCACATCTCTCTCTAAACTCTCTCTCTTTCTATGTCTCTCTCTCTCTCTCTCTATATATATATATATATATATATATATATATATATGTGTGTGTGTGTGTGTGTGTATGTATGTATGTGTGTGTGTGTGTGTGTGTGTGTGTGTGCAAAATACTAAAACAGATTATTATTGCCACACCAGGATAAAATGATCTTTAAAAAAGGGATCATATTTTATTCATAAAAAAGGATACAAAAGAATCAAAATGATTAAAATTTTAGAAACCTTTCGACCGACACATCTTCAGAAAAAATTTATATCGTCATCAAGTAAAACTAAATGGTTGAAAAGAAAAATTATTTTCAACAACTGCTGTTAAAATATACCAAAACTAGTGGAGTGAGAAAAAAAAAATCACTATTTTACTAGTTAGGCATTAAATTGGCCACTGATTGGGTGGAATCCTGTGTATGACGATAAATTACATCCGGCAGAAAGACCTCTGATTGGGAAGTGTCCTGGGTATGACGATAAACTAAAGCCAGCAGCAAGACCTCTGATCAGGAGATTTTGACGAGCGAGGAAACACCTCTTAATTACTGTTGTTCTCAGGTCTACCCTGATCCGGGCTGGTAGCGCCTGTTGGGGTCCCAGCTATGAGCAAATAGTTTACTCACAAACTGGGGTCAAAACCCTATGAAAGTATAAATACACATTTTTATAGTAAAATATACCAGCAATACATTTCGATATTAAAAAAGTTACCAGCGATACATTTTTGTAAATGAAATTACTAATAATAACCCATAAACGAACAAATTATTACAAATCTACTCGATTCTCTATATATACTTCTCGATCAACTAATGAGAAGGCAACCATCAGATAAAAAATAGCAAGAAGAAAAAACTGAACACGGTTGCAAAACGGCGGAAATTTTCTGAACCATGTCTAGCTAGTATGACCAAAATCTACCAAAATAATAAAGGCTCCACGCATAACTTCTGTTATAAAAAATTTGGGCCAATCAAAAAACAAAGGGACTGAGGACTGAGAAAACAGATTGATGCCGCACGTATTTCCAAGATGACAACTACTACCAATGTTTGACTTCTAAACTAATCAGCTACCGAACCGAAACAGACTTTATCCTGTTTGTTACCAAGATCTGACTTATAAACGAATTTTCTCTACCTTGAATTACAAAGGACTCGCTCCAATGGAAGTCAAATAAATAAATATATATATTACTTGTTTATGACTTCTATTTTTTTATTTCCGAAGTTTCCAATAAGTAATATGAAAAATATCTGGGAACAATCCCCACAAGAAATTCTTTTCAACCAAATATAGCTGAATCTGTGTTGAGTTAGAATACATGGGTCTATATGAAGTGCAGTGAAAATAATAGACAAGGAATGACACTGGAAATAATTTCATAAGGTGTTCGCATAATTCAAATCAGCAGCCCGTGAATAGGTATTAACATGAAACAAAAAAAAAACGAAAAAAAAAAAACGATGAATTTATGATTCTACATCCTTGTGCAAATTAATTGAAACAAAACGAATAATTGCGTTATTATTTACTTTTTTCTCGTATTTTTCTAGTGTACATGTTAGTACTTCGTATGTCCATTCCACAAAGTTGTTCCTTGCAGATTGACCACAGATTATCGAACGGATTTAAATCAGGAGAGTTTCTAGGTCAGTCTATAGTACTTTGATTTGCTTACTGGTAAGGCTTTCCATTGTGTTTGTGCAACGTTACAATTTTCGTACCCTTTCTTGGAGCAACGTCCATCGCAGACAACGGCCGTAGAATAACTAATCGACAGTCCAGACAATAGTGGCTGGGGGTGATGAGAATCTGATGCAACCACGGATGACGCAATATTTTTCAAGGCCAAACAAATTTCAACATACATCCCGAAAATAGATCTCTATTACGGCACATCCCTTCAAATGACCTAATCTGAGAAAAAAAATAGAAATCGATTACACCCTGTCACTCCAGTGGGTCTAAAACTGACCGTATGATGAAAGAAAGGAAACTATAGCAGTTGTTTCAATTAATTTGTACAAGGGTGTATATGCATGGCTGGAGTGATTGATCGTCGGCAAAGAAATCTAAGAAAATAAACAAAACAACAATCCCTAAAAAATGGCGCCAGATCAAACCACATTCAATGATTAAGTCAGACCATCTAACAAAGTTCAACTAAGAACCATATTATTGCTAATAGCAGAGAAAAGAGAAACACCATATTAACAACATAAAAGACATGTGGAATATTAGGCGCATACTTATTCCAATAACACATAAGAAAAATGCTTTCCTGTATTTAAATATGTAATGTTTAAAGAAAGATATAAGTAAATTACAAATTATAAAAGCATTTTGTTTATAGCAGAAACATCACTGTATATATATATATATACATATATATATATATATATATAGATAGATAGATAGATAGATAGATAGATAATATTAGTGCTAAATATCTCCCCATCTCTCTCCCCCACCTCGTCTTTCCCTCCCTCTTATTCTGATCTTCAACTTTAAATCTTCTATGGTGTGTGTATGTCACCACGAAATGTATCTTTATGAATTAGACATCCTACAACATTCATATTACTCTTACTTAAAACCCTTCCACCCATCTCTCCTAAAATTCTCTCTGTTAAGGTTTAATCTCCCTCCTTCTCTAGACTCTCTCTAAATTCTGTTTTTATTTCCGGAGTTGTTTTTTCCGTTTTCTTTTTGAATTTGTAGGTCTGATGAATTGGATCGTATTTACGATTCCAATGGAATAAATTATGACCATGGAATATTAGTGTTTAAGCCTTTTTATTATATATATATATATATATATATATATATATATATATATATATATATATATATAAGAAAACTAGCTCTTTGAACGTAAAGTAAGTAATGATCAAAGTAGTTGTGGATTCCAGGATGAAATCCGGTAGCAATAAATAACAACGCCAAGAATGAATATAGGAAAATAATGTATTAACGTAATAATACCAACTGGTAATGCAGGTTAGTAGTTCCAGGAATGCGGGTTAGTAGCGAAATATCTATAGTCTTTGGTATTGAAGTATCACTGTATGACTTCTTACTGAGTCTACATGCTCGCTCACTTGTGGCTCTTGCTCGCTACGTTCGTTCCGTCTGTCTGACTGTTACCTTCACCTTCTGTTGCTCTCGTCTCTCAGGTCTTCGCGTAGCAGTAGTATATGTATATACTGGGTGAGTCCCTTTATGTAAAAAGTGGAGGACCTCTCAATAGTAATAAAAGCAAGTAATGATCAAGTAATGAAAGGATCTAACGTGAAAAAGCTAGCTACCCTTACATTTGAACATAAAGCAAGAAACATCCTTACTATTTCCAGCTTTCCATTTCAGTTATAGCGCTCTTTCCTGTAGTGTCCATCTTGATTATTAATAAGATTCTGTTGAGGCAGGATCGAACAGCTTGTACCGGCGAATGTCGCTGGTATTATGTTACGATAATTCCATTTTGGATACTTTCATGGTAATTGTGCGGGTGAGCTTTCCTCCTTGGTACCTAGAGTTTACGAATTTAACTATTTTACTAGATTGGCGGTTAAGTCTCATTATTTTACAATTGAAAATGGCTAGATGTAACCGTAGGTTCTATGCTAACACTTTCTTCTCTCTTTTAGCTTCTTGCTTTCCAGTTAACTTTGATTTTCAAATATTGAAATGCAATGTCAATTGTTATCTTCTGTCGTCTTAATTCTTCTTCTTTTATTGTTTTCACTCCATAATGTTTTTATTTTTCTTATGTTCTTTCACACACAGTAACCCCTTGCGTCTTAGTGGCTTTATTTTCTTGTTTGGGAGTGAAATGATTTTAACATAAATATAACGGTAGTAGTAGTAATAATAGTACTATAGAATAACACTATCTGTACTGGAAAATCTGCAACTTTTTGGAGAAGGAAACTGCAAAGAATTGGTATGAACACCAGCTCGACTCAGTTACAGACATAGAGCCTGTAACACTGATATGGGGCTTTAGAATACCCAAAGACAGAACAATCAGCTAATCGCCTTAGACATAAATATCAAAAATCAAAAAACAGAAAGTGCTTTCTTATCGACATCCCCATTCCTTGCAAATTGTCATGTAGCTTCAAAGATCTTCAAATAATTATCGAAATATAAGGTTCTTGCAGTGGAAATTTTAAAAATGGGGACACATGGCACTCGGTTCAATTGGAAAAGGTTGTGGTAAACTTATTGAAAACTGGTTGTCCATGCCTTAAACAAATACAAAAATATGTTCTCACAACCTCAACACACGCCTTACGAAGGGATTTTTAAAATATTTGTGTTTTAAGGTTGTTTTATTTTTACTTCATCCTTTTACACAAATAAGCAGTAGAAAATGTCATGATACCATTTCTGACCTTAGATCTCTGGTTAGGACTCGGGAGGAAATGACTATACAACAGAAATCAAAGATAATAATAATAATAATAATAATAATAATAATTATTATTATTATTATTATTATTATTATTATGTCATTTGAGTAAATAATATTAACATGGAATCGGGTGGAATAGCCTACAGTAGTGCAATGGTGAGAGATTTACCCCAGAGTAAACTCGCATATAAGAAGCAGGTCGATTTTTTTACTCATTTTTTTCTTGGTTGGGGGGGTGATAATGTGTCTTATAAAACGTCGAGTAGAGATCATAATCGAAGCAATCCTTTTTTTTTAATATTCAATGAATAAAGACATCGCCAGAGAAATATTTACATGCCTCCCACAGTCACCAAATGTCAAAATCAGAATTATAAATAGAAAATTTTCTAGTCAGCCAAGCAGGCAGAAAGAACGAAAGAAAGAAAGACGCAAGAAAAAAATTAAAACATCAGAAAAAATAAAATAAAATGATAAATACTTATCAAGTTTCTTTCGTTATTAAGATAAATATTTATCAGGTTCTTTTCATGCTAAGCTTCCATAGTAAGGATTTTTCGTACACACTTGAGCATTATTTTCTTTTCTCAAATAAAAGAAAGAAAGAAGTATAGAGAAAAGAAAAGGCTAATGTCTGTGTGTGAGTGAGGTATAGTGTACATGCAAACATAAAACGAATCCCTCGCCGAAGTTTTCCCCGACCGGTCAAATTCACCCCATGTTACATTCCGTTTCTCGAATAGTCAGTCTTCACCAAAAGTTGAGGAAGAGCGCCATGCGTGCTCACAAGGTGACACACGGTTGGAAGAAAAATCAAGCAGCCTCACAATCCCCAGAAGTTGGTGTGAATATGGATCCATGTTTCGAAAAGCGAGACTGGAGTAAGCCCCCTACTTGAGTCTTAGGAGCATACAATCAAGGAGTTGGTCCCGGGCATCACCAAACCTCTGCATCTCTTTGCTGGTAAAATGAAACCGAGAAAAATATACAAGCTCTAATTTATAAATTTATTACAAAATTTTGTTTTTTTCTCCACATTGTTAGTCGATGTTGCCACGACTAATAAAAGTTAATTGCACCACTTTTGGGTATTGTCTCGTTCCATTAGAGAAAGCTGGGCTCTTATACGTTTTTTCTTTTTTTCTTCTTTATCTTCATCATTCTTCTACTTCATCATTATCATCTTTTTCTTCTTCTTTTGCATCTTCTTGTTTGTTTCTTCTTCTTCTTCATCATCATCATCATCATCTTCTTCTTTGTTTCTTCTTTTTTTCTTCTTCTTCATTATCACCATCCTCTTCTTCCTCTTCGTATCTTCTTCATCATCATCTTCTTCTACTTTATTTCTTCTTCTTTTTCTTCTTCATCATTATCATCATCTTCTTTGTTTCTTCTTCTTTTTCTTCATCATCATCATCTTCTTTGTTTCTTCTTCTTTTTCTTCATCATCATCATCATCATCTTCTTTGTTTCTTCTTCTTTTTCTTCATCATCATCATCTTCTTTGTTTCTTCTTCTTTTTCTTCTTCATCATCATCATCATCTTCTTTGTTTCTTCTTCTTTTTCTTCTTCATCATCATCATCATCTTCTTTGTTTCTTCTTCTTTTTCTTCATCATCATCATCTTCTTTGTTTCTTCTTCTTTTCTTCTTCATCATCATCTTCTCCTTTGTTCCTTCTTCTTCATCATCATCATCTTCATCATCTTCTTCTTCTTCTTCTTTGTTTCTTCTTTATCATCATCTTCTTTTCTTCTTTGTTTCTTCTTCATCATCATCTTTTTTTTCTTCATCTTCTTTGTTTATTCATCTTCTTTGTTTCTTCTTCTTCATCTTTTTTGTTTCTTCTTCATCTTCTTCTTCTTCTTCAGCTTCTTTCTTCTTTGTTTCTTCTTCTTCTTCTTCTTCTTCTTCTTCTTCTTCTTCTTCATTGCTTTAATAAACAAACCAACTTTTATGCTTATTGTTCATTAGTACCCAAAATAGAAAAATTGCTTCTTCGAAAACAAATTGCTTCCGGGGTCGCCATGTTAAAAATCACTCACAGCATTGATACTTCTCATTCTTTTCGTTAGAATAATGTTTCTCCCTCTTCACATTCTCTCTGAGAAAACTACGAAAATTGTCTTTAAAAAACAAATTGATTAATTCTATTCATTAATGAATGTTACACATTGACGTTTGAAATTTCTATAATTTAAGAATTGTACACTGATGCTAAAACTGAAAATGGATGATTCGATTAAATAAAGCTATTTTTTGGACAAAGTTAAATTTAGTAGCAGGTAACATCCAATGGGCGCCTACTGAAGATCAGATTCACTCGCAATAAGATACGCATCACTCTAAGACAGGTGTTCTAAATAGTATATATATATATATATATATAATGTGTGAGTGTATGTGTGCGTGTGTGTTCAAGTATCTTTGGTTGTTGAATAATCTAGACATATTAAGACTATTTATTTTTAATTTAATCCTCTCGAAATAATTCCCAACTATCAATTATATTAATTTATGTAAAAACAATTCATCCTGGAGGTTGATCTTGGATGAGATTGAAAGTATATGGGAAAATAAAAGAAATGAAAGATACTACGACGCCTTCCTTAATGAAAACGACACTAAGAAATTAACCCGCGAATTTGATAGGATTAAAATAAAACCGCATATAATATGCTTGAATAAAAATATACTGCTTTATATATATATATATATATATATATATATATATATATATATATATATATATATAAGTGAACATAGTTAGAGGCGACAGTCTGTTTGCTAGATGCAATCGTCAAGCCACGAGTCCTGTTATTTTCTCGGATATTTATATATACGGGTCAGTGTTGCATTGTGGGTAGTCTATTTTGGCGGTTATTTTACTAGAAGTCGTTTATTTCTTTATTCATTTATTTGAGTTAAATTATTTTGCTTATTTTTATTTATTTTTATTTCTTATACTATATATTTGTTTTTTATTTTATTTTAATCGTTTTTATTAATGTAATAAAAATTTGTTTATATCGCTTATTTAATTGTTTTGTTTTGGCTTGGGTTGATAATTAAAGCTATTTATTCAATTTTAGGGTTGATTGTTGTAGTTTATTCTAACTATTATTTTGGCGGGAGCAGTTTTTAATTTGTTTATTACTTCATGTATTTATTTCGATTGATTATCTTTATTTGTTTTTTCGAACGGTTCGTTTATCGGGGTCGGTTTGTTAGTTTATTTATTTATTTATTTGGATGAATTTAAATTAATTTATTTTACTTGTTTTTTATTATCTATTTGTTATAGTGTATATTTTTATTACTCAAAAAAAAACTCCCATTCTTTTACCACTTCATAGTATA